GTAAGTAATAGTAGTATATAGTTTTAGTTAATATAATAACTAATATATATATATATATATATATATATATATATATATATATATNTTAAAAAAAAACTACAAAATGGGTTAAATGTTATGAAATATTTAAAGGGAAAAGTTTATATAGAGCCTAGGCCCTAAACAATCAAATTAGAGCCTACCTCAAAACTTTCACTAAAAGAGGTTGTTTTGAATCCCAAATATCATCAAATTGATCATCTTAACATCAAGATGCATGGATATGAGAAAAAAAATGGATTTCAATTTTTGAAAATAGTACAATTTGTAATGCATTTTTAGACCGTCAATTTTCAATATTTTCAAATTTTCATAGATCTGATCGATCTACATTATTTTTTAAGATTTAAGTTTTATAATTAAAGGTGAAAATATAATTTAAGGTTATCACAAAACTTTTCAGTATTGAAAGCATATTTTTCGATACTATTTGAAGGTAGGCTCTAATTTGATTATTTAAAGCCTCGGCTTTATACAACAGCACCCATATTTAAATTTCTTACGTGCGAAGCAGGTGTCCTTAAGCAATGAGTGTAATACGTCTTTGAAATTTGGGTCCCAATATGATTTTAAAGAAATATAATTAAAGGACATTTATCAAATCACACTCCAGAATTGAACCATATAATATCTCACTAATGTATATGATTCTAATTGCAAGTAACTCGCCCTTCTTTTGATTAAATTTCAAATAGCCTGTTAAATAAAACATTATTTATCAAATCATACCAATAGTGAAATTTAAGTAGTTGACCTTTTACGTGCGATTTGATCAATTTCTCAAGAAACATCACAAAAGTAAATTACAATAACAAACCTAGTTTTAAATAGAAGGCTAGTGTTTGTTTTTTACCTTTTTTTTATATATATATATTGAAGAGTTAGTTTTTTTGAAAACGATAATAAGATATCAGCAGGATTGGAAGCCATAACGTGATAATTGGGTATGGGGTTGCCACCGTAACAACCAAACCCCGATCCTACTAATATCCGAGTACAAATCGGAAGTCCGGGAGTGTCTTAATGTCCGTCAAAAGAAGCTGCTACCATATCGACTTCTTCTTCGAAAAGCTGCTACTCTATGGACTTCTTTGCATTTCAAAATATCGATTGCTTCCATCTATTATTATATTTCGATATTACTTCTATGCTATACTCCTGCGGGAGTATACTGTGTATCTATTCTTTTGCAAAAAACCTATTTAGGAAGGTTTTTTTAGCGTAAAATTTTGAAAACCACATAAGAGTTGCTAGATAATTATTTTCAAAAGATGAAATCTGACTTTTGAGTTTCATGGCACTTAGATTGAGCCCTAGAAAAATTGGATAATAGATACAATCTTGAGGCGTTAGTATTTTCTAGTACATCGAGAATCTATTTGAGAAATTTTTAAATTGAGATTACTCTGTGATTTGTAGAGATTACATCCAAAAAATGAGATCTAACAAGTATCCCTGGCATGTGATTTGCCCGAGGAGTAAATAAATAATATACTCACACAGAAGTAGGAAATCTTTTGGCTTATTTCTATTATTCTATTTTGCCCACTCCAGATTTCTGAGGTATTCTTTGGGCCTTGGACCGAAGGCAAATCACGCTCTTGTACAAGAGGAGTCAAAAGGTTTGAACTTTGAAGCAAGTCAAAGAAACGTACTTCTATTTTTTATTTATTTTTGTTCAAATTTCGAGTCTATTGTGGGCGCATATACCCATTTGTATTTGAGAAGTTGGTAGTTCTTTGAACTTTGAAGTATTTCCTAATGAGACATGAGATTGTATATTGACTACGGTTTATTTTTTTCAGAACAAAGGGTCACAATCAGTTTTAAGAAGATCGCAATCTCTTTTTGTTATTAAAGATGAATTCTCATAGCTAATAGTGCACGGTAAAAAGCTTGAGAAAATTTTTGGACTTCGAGCTCTATCGTTGGAAACTTTCCAGCTTCAATTTCACATCAATAGCTAAGAGTTAATGTGGTCTATTATCCAATTCACATTAATGGCGAATGGTAATTATGACTTTTTTCTCTTTAATCCAAAAGGAAACGATATTATCGCATGCTTTATTATGACAACATCATTTCAAAACTTAGCACTGTTTCAAAACTCGGTTCATTGGGATGGATCATCTACCACACGTATTTTTATTAGATCACTAGATCGGCAATTTGGATTGGTCCAAATCGATGATTTGAAAAACATTACAAAATAAAAAAATAGAATGGGATTTTTTTGATTTTTTTTTTAGGGGGGGAGGGGGAAATGTTAGATAAGCTTAAAAACAAAAAGAAAAAAAATATGAAAGAGAAGAGTTTTGAGGGGAGCTAGCCAATCCCAATACCTTCTCAGAACCAGCTCAGTCCTGGCCAATTCCATATACAAATCGGTGTTTCAAAACACGATTTTAGAAAATAATTATTAACAAACTAATGTTCTTGCATAGGAAGGAAGTGCTCTATATATGGCCCACCTTAAAAAATAAAAATAAGGGCACCTCCAAATAATGCCAAAAGATAAAGTTCCAATGCATGAAACTTCTAAGATGGCCTAAAAATATGTTTCAATATCTGATTACAATATTTAAAGCTCCAAAAGTAATAGGGATTGTGCAAATTTATAAAATTTAAAAATCTTGAAAATTGATGATCTAGATAATATGTTATAAGATGCATTGTTTTTAAGACTTGAAATCTTTTTCTTTTTATATTCATACCACCTAAATCAATAATTCCAAAACATTTTGAGGTGTGCCTCACTTCTGTTAAAAATTGACACCTTATATAATCTTTTTCGTTGAGAAATAATCTTATGAATTTCTTTATCCTAGCAATAATGCGTAGGACCCTCTTTTGCAGCATTAATTGCCAACCATGGATGGAGGAGATGATCCATAACAATAGAGACATAACAATAGAGAAGTCCGCTATTATCCATTAAGTTGAATTACAGATCATCTCCACCGTCTATACCAAACCAACAACAGTACAAATCAGGTCCTATACTATTCATGTAAGACGAGGTATAATTGGATAATCCCATTCTTTTTTCTAGCATAGTCAATGGTGGTCTACTGGGGCATGTGGCTCAGCCCAAAGGCCCAAAATATAAAGGCCACATTTATGTGCATACGGTTGCCTGTTTGGCATTAAAAATTGAAAATACATATAATGAGACTATTTACTTTTTATCACAATCATTATTAATCATTATATGTAAAATTAGATAGTATGAAATGTGTTATTGATTCGATCCAAAGCTCAAAATAAAATTTCTCAAATATTGTGACACATTACGATCCGTTGGATTTCACATCCAACGAAAATCCAATGGCTAAAAGTGTTTGTGACCACCCTGTATATGAAAAATAAATTGTTTGAAAAAATGAACCGAAAATGATTCTGGTCCACTCTAAGAAATCTCGACTAAATCGTGTCTAATGAAATAGAGAGGAGGGAGGGAGAATCTTGCCATCCAAAAGAACTATTAGAATAGATTTCGTGTTCAAAATTATGTAATCTTTTATAATTTTTCAACTAGTCCAACTCAAAATTACATGTATTTTGATGGCATTTTGAAAATGAAATGAGAATGAATGGGTAAATTGCTAAATGATTAACATCTTAGGTGTATTTTGATCAGTTGTCCCTAATTGGTTGGACAGCCCACTAGGGATTTGGCCAATCTTTTTAAAGCCAAAATTGGCTTGGTCAAGACACAAGATCGGCCGAAACTAATGTTTGACTAGTTCTAGCTGCGGACAAGTGTGAATTTTAATTAATTGCATGACTAAGAAATGTATAACCTTTTGTAATAAATTTTATAGTTCTAAATTCTCTCTCTTTTTTTTTTTTTTTTAAAAAAAAATCCAATCTAGCTTGTTCTATTCTCGATCGAACTAGTTTGATGGTCGGTTCGATTCTAATACCATTCTAGTAGATAAATGAACATTTGGCATATTACGTGGACTAAGGTGGAGATAGGTTGGAATCTTACTTTTAATTTTTAGGCCTTATTCAGGTACTACCAAGTTGTTCTTCCGCATATTCTTGAATAAGATGGTTCAAAAACATAAAAAATAAAAAAATAAAATAAAAAAGAAAGAAGAAGGTTCATGGAACTTATTCTCAAACAATGACTGCCCTGATACCCCATTAGAAATATAAATTTTTCTTAGAGAGATTGTTAAATGAGTAATTCGTACTCATGGGTAATTCGAACTCTTTTCAATTTATTCTAACACCATGAAAAATACACGAGGAAGATGGAGCACAAATACATCATATATATAAAAAATATAGCAAACAGGAGCTAGAAGAAAGAGAAAATGGGGGATCACATCGAAGATAATAAGTTCTAATTGACCTGACCCGGTGCGCCTTTCTTTATGGGAGGAGGATTTGAACCTCTTCCTCTCACCTTCAAACCCCTTTCCTGCACCACCATTTTCTGCAAAAAAAAAAATCAAATCAATGCCAATGTGTGCTTGTGAGAGAGAGATGGGTACTTTATACCCTACGTATAAGGCCATAAGCACTCTAATAATCACCTGATTAGTCTCCCAAGTGGGTTCTCCCTCCTCGATTCCTGAAGCAAAAACCCATGAAAAGATCTCTTTGTTAGAGAGAGAGAGAGAGAGAGAGAGAGAGAGTACTGTAGTACTTACTTACGTTGTGTAGTAGTAGGTTTGGTTTGTCGTGTAGGTGTAGTACGACGTAGTAACTAAGTAGTAAGTAACGTAAC